ATCCAGGCAGCCGCAGCGGCTGCGAAGGTCTACTCTTGCACAAATTTCGTGCATCAGGCCTCTAGTAACTTTATAGGTATTTACTGTGTGCTTAATCGTGTCCTAAGGGTAATACATATACTAACTCATTTAATCTATAAACCCTTCATAACAGGTTTTATTAATATCACTAGAGGCCCGCTGCACAAAATTCGTGCACTGGGGGTGGGGGGGTGATGTCCCTCAGCCCAGCCTGCACCCTCTCCAATCTGGGACCCCTCAGGGGATGTCTGACTGCTGGTTTAGGCCCTCTCACAATACAGGACTGCTGGCTCCCAACCGCTCACCTGCCTGCCTGATCGATGCCTAACTGCTTCCCTGCTGGCCTGATTGCCCCAACTGCCCTCCCCTGCCGGCTCGATCACTCCTAACTGCCCTCCCCTGCTGGCCTGGTTGCCCCCAACTGCCCTCCCCTGCTGGCCCAGTCCCCCCCCAACTGCCCTCCCCTGCAGGCCTGGTCCCCCCCAACTGCCCTCCCTTGCAGGCCTGGTCACCCCCAACTGCCCTCCCCTGCCAGCATGGTCGCCCCTAACTGCCCTCCCCTGCTGACCTGATTGCCCACAACTGCCCTCCCCTGCTGGCCATTTTGTGCGAGGGTGTGACGGTCAATTTGCACATTACCTCTTTATTATATAGGATTGTTTTACAAATAATGAATGGAAGCAGAGAAGATAGTAAGAGGTGATCCAAGAAAAGAACCAAGACAATCTGGTTCTCTTATGCTAAACTCCAGTTGATAGTCACCATGGACTACTTTTTATACTTATTTACCTTCTTTAAAGTGTATTAGTCTTACCTTCCCTAATTCCCTGTTTTATATATCTCTTTGTATTCCTTGTATGTAGAAAATACATTTTGCATATATTATATTGATGGGGATAAAAGAACTCAGTGAATGCAGGATTTTTAATGTGTAAAACAATGTGTAAATCTATCTATATATATAAAAGCCAAGTGACCAGAACGACCAAAACGACTGGTCGCTATGATGCACACTGCGGTGGCCAACCAGCCTATCGGGGCCCCAATCAGCTCCCCCCACCTCCCATAGCCCCTTCCCCCAGCTGGCCATGTCCCTGATCGGCCCCCCCACCCTGATCAGGGGCGGGGCCGGCAGCCAACCTCCCGCGTCCCCCTTGCCCCCACTGGCCTGGCCCCAATCAATCTCCATCAGGGCAGGCAGCCAGACCCCACCCATAAACAAATTTGTGCACCAGGCCTCTAGTATATCTATAATTTCCATGGGACTTATAATAATTTTGTCAAAATAAATTGGACAACTTTGAAATTCTAATAGTAAAAATGGTAAGATGATAACCCAGAAGGATTAATATAGTTTTCAAAACTAACTTATTAGAGCCACAAATTCTCTGAGCCATAGGTTATATAAAGCAACTCAAAGAAACTATAGTTTATGACTTGAAACTCACAATAGAGGTAACTTAGGTGCAGTTATACCTAACTGTGATATTTTAGATTAAGTATTCAACATTTCTGAGTCTCAATTTACTCACCTCTAACACGGGAATAAATAATAAAATCTATCCTCTTTCCTCTCAGTGTCTTTAAGAATCAAGTTAAATGAGGCTGCGAAAGTCTTTCCCAAGCAGGAAAAAACACACAGATGCTAAGTATTTCTAAATATATAACAAGGAACATGCATGTATAAACGTGTGAAGCATTAATATCAATGGACTATTATTAACAGCCAGCGGGATAGTTTGGAAAAACATGAACTTTTAGGTTGGAAAGACCTGGATTCAAGTTCTCATCCTGCCATTTACTAGCTGAGGGACCTTGGGGATGTTGCTTAAACATATTTCTGAGCCTCAGTCTTTTCAATTATAAAATGGGGAAAAAATAATACCTACCTAACAGGGTAGAACATGTAAGAAGCACCTGGTTCATGGTAAACACAACAAATTTTATTCTGTGCCCTTATACTGACAATATTAGTTATTTTACTCAAGACACATCAGAGAAGTTACATCAGTCCTTCCAGAGTTTATACATTAAGACATCAACATATAGAAAGCCTACATTTATTTAGTTTTTATTAAACTCTATTAAATGCCTACCACTCTTCCAGGTGATTAGGAGAGGATCTAGAACTTTATATTCCCTGCCCTGTAGATCAGTCAGAGGTTCTCAGATCCGGTTGACAGTCTGATGAAAGCTACATCGCCTCTCTCCAGAGAAAGTTACAAAACTTGTAGGAGACAATACAAGAGATATAGGAGAATATCTTCATGACCCAGGGGTAGGGAAAGCATTATAAAGGGAGAGTGCAGAGAGGAGGAACACTCTAAAGAAAAAGATTCACAAATACACCTACATTAAAATTAAGAATTTCTATATCAAAGAGACCATAAAGAAAATTTCAGGAATAAGCCACAGAGTGGGAAATATTTACTAGTACAATACATACAATTAAAAAAAAAAAAGTGAGATTCCTGTGTAAAGAACTTCAACAATATTAAAACATGTTTATATAATGAAAATAAACTACAGCTGCATGTAATAAAATGGGTAAATCTTACAAACTTAATATTGAGTGAAAAAAGCATGACACTAAAGAATAGGTACAGGATGATTCCACTCACGAACTTGGAAAATGGATAAAATGAAATAATATTGTATAGGGATGCATATGTTATGCATATGCATATAAGGTAAAACAGTACAGAAGAACAAGGGAATAATTATCACAAAAGTCAAAAAAGTTGAGTGACAGGGATCAGAGTCTGCTTCTAGATTGCTCGCAATATTCTTTCTTGACTTGAACACAGGTTACAAGGGTTTTACAGGCACACTGTTTTATTGAGTTTCATTTACTTTATTGTGCTTCACAGATGTTGCATTGGAGGGAAGGGAAGACCCTCCACCAGCAAAAAGATACGACTCACTTTATTGCGGTGGTGGTAGAACCAAACCTGCAATATCTCTGAGGTATCCCTATCTTTTATAATTTGTAAGTTTTATATGTTATTCTGAATGTACACTGCAAAAATAAACAAATACACTTCCACCACCACACCTAAAGCTAGCAGGGAGAGAAGGAGTTCAGACTCCTTCAAGCCCCTGAACACCAAATTTATGGTGTCAAGCTACATGAGATCAAAGAAAAAAGAAAATCTTTAGAATGTAAAGTGGTGGGGGAAGAAGGGAGTGATGAGAATAGGGAAAGTCCAAGACTGGAAAGGGATCTTTAAGCCTCTGGGTCAGTTCATACTCTCACTTGGAGAGAGAACTTGCAGCCCAGACATGAGGAACAGATGCCCAAGCTTGGTAAGGAATGCGATGGTGTCTGAAAAACATAGTAACTAGTGCGGGGATGGAGCAGCACATCTTGTAAAGAAACGTAATCTATTAAATAATGTCTCCCCAAAGAAAGAAGACCAGTAAGCTGAACCTTCTCCCCACTCCTTAATATCTCCTCCCTTCACCCTTAAATGGTGAAAAACCACAAACAACAGTTTCTGAGTGAAAAAGTATACCGTGTCATGTCTCAGCAAAATACTATCACAGAACTTAGAAAGGCCTCTGTCAGCCTTGGGAAATTAAGGAACTGGTAAAAACAAGTTACAAAAACGCCACTTCCACTAGCCTTGGAATAAGTACACATACGGCGACTGAATGATAAGCCTACACCTGGATTATAGTCTGACCTCCAGTATCGACAGCTCTTCACAGGACAGTCCCTCCTTAGAGAGAGTGAAGCTTTTTGCTGAATAGGACTCCAAGGGAGCCCGCACTGTTCAATGGAAGTACACCTTTGTAAATGTTTTAATTGTATCCCTGCAAGAAATATTTACTTATTTTCCATTATTTCATGAGGTCTGGATTTATACTGAACAAAACTATCATTTTCCAAACGGATGGTGTCAATTGGTTATTTTGATTTTTAAAAAGTCCTAGTAAGGGGCATACGGAATTATTTTTAAGTTTCCAAGGGCTTGAAGTTGACCATTTCCTCATACTACACTCAAATTCTTTCTTTCATTCTATTTTCTACCTGCCTGTTTGTTCCCTCACAGACCCATAACTTCTCTTAATTTCTCCACGACTTGCGAAAGAGGCTTTAGTGAATGTTTTCATCTCCACCTTTCTCACTTGTTTAGCTCCCTTTTGTAGTCAATTCCCTAGGTTGGTTCTCTCTTTTTAGATAACTGGCTTATCCAGTTGGAACCAAAGGCCAAAGAATTCCCTCTCTATTATGTCTGATGGAAAAGCTTCCGGGGAAGAGAGAAGGGGTGTGGATCTGTACTTAGTCACTCTTACACTTCTGCGGCAAACTATTGACCCGTGCCGCCTTTGTGCACCCAAAAGAAGTAATTTTAGGCCCAGAAATGATTCTCAGTCCAAATGGGTCGCCTTTTGGAATGCTATATTCTGCAGCACTCACAAAATAACTCTAAAGCCAGCCCTGCACAAAACTGGTGCGCTCCGAAGGAGCTGGGGGCAGGGAGGAGAGTCGCAGGTCCGAAGTTCAGAGACACTGAAACCAGACTAGACAACTAGCGCGCGGGTCGACCTGGTGGCGGCAGCCCAGGCAAAACTGTCCGGAGGGGGCGTCCCCCACGGGTCTCTGACTCATCCAGAGATAAGTCATCACCTGGGCCACCAGGTCCAAGGCACCAGCTCCTGGATTTAGTGTGCGCATGGAAAATTTGTAGTTTTGGCTCCTGGGCCCTAGCAGGTAGAGAGAGACCCGTGTGGTTTCCCTCGGGCTCCGCCCCGAAAGTGAGGATGAGGATGGAAAAGCCATTCTCCCTCTCTCATCTCCAAGAGGTGCGGGTCCCCTCCTGGCGGGTGAGCTAGTGAGGGAGCCGCCGCCTTCTAGGGCAGGACCTGAGCGGCCCCAGGGTGTCCAGCCCTCGGTCCTGCTCCCCCCATCCCCCCGCCCCTTGTGTCCCTTCCCCACCCCCCACCCCCCGCCTCGTGCTCCTCACGCCCCTCACCTGCAGCCGAGTGGCCCGAGAGCGCCCGGCCCCGGGCGCGGCGCCCCAGCTCTTCCTCCTCGTCCTCCCACCGCCGGCCCTCAGCCATGGGCGAGGCGAGGCGCAAGGCGCAGCTGCGGGACGATGGACGAGCCCCGAGGGCCCCCGCGCCAGCTCCCTCGGGGCCGGGAGGAAGGCCCCGGGGAAGAAGTGGCAGCGCCTGGGGCTGCGGAATCGGCTGCCTCCGCGGCCTCCACCTGCAGCTGGCGGGGCAGCGGCGGGGCACCCGCGCGATCCCGGTTCCCCGCCTCCTTCCAGCAGCGCACCCGGCCTCTTTCTCCCAGCTTTCGCTCTCCCACTCTCTTCCCCCTTCCTCTTTCCCTTCTCCGCCCCTCGGACTTGGAGCCAGGGACCGGGGCGGGTTCGGGCTGGGCCTCGCCTCCTCGGGGAGGGGTCACCCGCCACTGAGGACGCCCCACAGCCACACACCCTGGAACCACCTGCTTGCTGGACCCAAACAAACGCGTACAGAATCAATAAACAGGGGTGGGGGGAGGTGGCCTGGCCTCTTCCTGACCTTTCACAGTATTCCGGTGTCAACAGGAAACCCATTTGCTTGACACTTAAACAAAAGGAGGAGGAGGAACCTGCCCCTAGCGGGACTAGGAAAGATGGGACAGCCGGGAGCCGCAGAACTTGGGAACAAACTAGCTGAGAGATTGGCTGAGACTGCGTAATTTTTTTTTCTTTCCCTCTCTTTTCGCCCTTAAAAATCGAGCCTCATTGGTAATGGTCCAGTTCTTGAACTGAGTGGTAGGTTGACTGGTGCTCATTGTACCACCATCCATTATCCGGTATGCATGAGTTACATTATTCGTATGTATTAAAATATTATTAATAAAAACATTTTATTTAAAAAAAAAAATCGAGCCTCGCCAGAGCACAGAGGACTTTTAGGGCAGTGAGTCTACTCTGTATGATAGTATAATGGTGGGTGCATATTATTATACATTTGTCCTAACCCATAGAATGTACAAGGTCAAGAGTAAATAAACCCCAATGTTAACGGAAAACTTTGGGTGTTGATATAGGTTCCTCGATTGTAGAATGGACCACTCTGTGGGGAATGTGGATAATGGGTGAGACTGTGCATGTGTGGGGCAGGGGTTATATGGGAAATCTCAGACTTTTCAGCTCAGTTTTGCTGTGAACCTAAAACTGTTCTAAACTATGAAGTCTATATTTCAAATATTTTAAATTAAAAAATGTATTCTAAAAAAATGGTTACAATCCCTATAAGAAAATGTACTTCAGAGCCCTGAACCTGATTATGTGTAGAGAGGCCATTTGGAGAAGTGGCAGGAGCACTGGCTCTGGAGTCAGAAACTGGAATTTGAAGCACTTAGCGGTGAGATCTACCCCTGTGAAAGCTTTTTCATGCTTAAGGACATTGCAAGAAAGTTGTTGTGTACCTATTCTCAATAGCACATATCTTAGGCTCAGCACTTGCACACACAGAGAGGCAGATTCTGGGAAGATACCCAAGTAGCAGACAGGAACACTGCCCAGACATGAACCCATATGAAAGTCGCCGGGGGCAGAACAGGCCCTTATTTTCAGCCTCTTGCTCTATTTCTGAGAGACTGTGAGAGCTTCCAATTGTTCAACATGTAAGAGAGGAAAAGAGAGGGGAAAGGGGGTCACTGAAAATAGAATTGCCTGCCATACCTGAGTGGTGTTTCTTTGCCTTTTCATTAGTGGTGGTTGCGGCCTGAGAAAAATCTTTCTGCTTTTAGGCAGATAAGAGCCACAATTGATTTTGTGGAATTGAGGTCAAATCCACAAGAGAAAACTTTATTAACTGATAAGCAGTTAAATGAGTAGACATCTGGAGAACTTGAAATTAAAATGGGGGGGGGGGGAAGGTTCTAGACCTTTAGGGTTATTTTAAGTGTGTGGGTTCACTATTAAGTGAAAGCATATTTGTTACTTAACCTTCAAGGAAAATGAATCATTCTGAGGTCCCTACAGCAGCAGAGCGTCACAAAGCTGTTGGGGTCAGTCTACTATTTTTCAGATTCTTAGCTTGAAAAGGGTTCAAGTGTTCTGATTCTCCCACACAATCAGAGCTTTAGGGACCCACACCGTTATTTTGGGGTGCATGCTCAAGCCCACTGTACATTCAGCAAACACTTATGGTCACCACTGTGTGACAAATGCCACACTAAGTGCTGTGGGGGTGCTAGAGGCATCTCTCACCAACACCAGAGAAGTGTTACCATTACCCAACAGTCCCCTGAGTCAGTGGGAGAGGAACTGTTCCCAACCTTAATCCTTTTCTTCTTAAATAAATGAATTTTTAAGAGAGACCTTGACTGTGTTGTGAAAAGCCAATTTATTAAAGCAATTAAAGCACGCACCTTTATTGAAAAAGCAAAGCAAGCAAACAACTATACTGTACATCTGGCTTATGAAGTGCAGACAGGTTCTCAGCTAATCTGAAGAGCTAGTTGGGTGGGGGTCTATAAGTTTCAAAATTCCTTTGCTGAATATTTTACTACAGATCCATTCTCAAGGTGCCCATTTTTTCTTTGTTTTGGCCTCGTCAGAATTCATGAGAAGCGCTTGGCAACTTTGTCTTGCCAGACCTCGAGACTGCTGGCTTCTCTGCTTTAGGGAGAAAGCGGCCCTTTTCCCCTTTCCCCTTTCCCTCTCCCTCATTGCATTCTCATTAGGGAGGTTTTTAACTATTTGCTCTTAAGTGTCCTTGGCTGGGGAAGATAATATTAGTTTCAAGCTGGCTGTCGATTGCCCTCACTGTTTGGCCTTGTTTTAACTTTCCTGTCTCAGTTTCCCTATTCCTGGAATCCTGTAACAAGGGGAGGGCTCAAAAGAAGAAATGAATTATTTCCCCTGGGGTCCTATGGTCGGTGCTTTTCACATAGGTTTTTCTCATTTTAAGTGAACAAATATGTTTCCAATCCTCCAGTGATGGAGGAAGATCTATGCAGTTTACTACAAAAGTAAGGGCTAGAACTATAAAGCTCTTCAAAGAAAACATTAAATCTTTGTGACCTTGGGTTAGGCAATAGTTTCCTAGGGTGACATCAAAATGTGTAAGTGACAAAAGAAGAAATAAATTGGAACTCGCCAAAAATTATAAATGTATGCCTCAAAGGACATCATTAAGAAAGTAAAAAGACAGCCCTCAGAATATGAAAAAATACTTGAAATCATATATTTGATAAGGTATATAGAATATATAAAGAGTTATATGTACAACTAAACAATTTTTTAATTAGCCCAATTTAAAACTGGACATTCTCTAAAGAAGATATACAAAGGCCAATAGAACATGAAAAGATCTTCAATATCATTAGGGAAATGTAAATCTAAACCCCAGTGAGATACCACTTCACACTAAATAGATGGATAAAATAAAATGGAGAAATTTCAGTCTTCATACATGACTGGAGGGAAGGTAAAACAGTGCAGCCACTTTGGAAAATAGTTTGCAGTTCTCAAAAAGTTAAATTTAAATTTACCATATAATGTAGCAATTCTACTCAGAGGTATATACCCAAGAGAAATGAAAATGTGTCCACACAAAAACTTGTATGTGCATGCTCACAGTGACATTCATCATAGCCCAAAAGTGGACACAACCAATTGTTGAATGGATAAACAAATAGTGGCATATCCATACAGTGGAATATTATTTAGCCATAAAAAGGAATGAAGCACTGACATGTGCTACAACATAGGTGAACCTTGAGAACATTATCTGGCTAAGTTAAAGAAGCCAGAGACAAAAGACTATGCTGAAGTGTGATTCTATTTCTATGAAACGTCCAGAATAGGTTAATCCATAAAGACAGAAAGTAGTTTAGGGGTTGCTGGGTGCAGAGGATAATGGGGAGCTATAGCTAATAGGTACAGAATTTCTTTTTCTTTTTTTCAAGGATTTCTTTTTGAGGTGATAAACACTATAAAATCAGAGTTGTACAACTCTGAATGTACTAAAGGATGAATTTTATGGTATGTAAATTATATGTCAATAGAGCTGTTATTTAGTGGGGAGAGAAGTATAACCTACTCACTATGAAGCAAGAAAACAAAGATTAAGGAGAGGACTGCACTCTGAAGTCATTATATTTAAGTAGAGAAACCAGATAGGGATTACAAGCAATGACAATTTAATCATATGAAAGAAAATCAAAGGTGTGGCTGACTAGCAACCAAATAAACATGCCAAGCATCTTACCCATCCTGGTGACACAACAAGAGCCAAACCCACAGAAGGAAAGTGTTAAACTTGGAATGCAAACTTACAGACTAAGGGTAGAACAAGACTCTCCTTCAAAGGTTGAAGGTACTAAGAAAAAAAAAAATTCTAAGAAATACTGAAAAACAACCCAATGACAAAGGAATACTTCTCACTTTGGATGTATAACTTGAAACAAAATAGGTACAAATAGAACACATGAAAAATAAGAATATACTATTCAAATACATATTTAGTACAGGGCTTGGCAAATAGAAGCCACAATAAATATTTGTTTAATGACTGAATGAATATACTTACATATTTTTTCTGCTGAATCACCAGAAGGCCTGAGCCTCAAGTTAGTTAACTTAAATAAAAATTAACTATCTGGAATTTAAAATTTACAACTGGGAGAACCAAGATGGCGGCATAGGTTAACGCCGGAGTTTGCTGCTTTGAACAACTACTTCAAAAGTGAAACCAAAAAACGGAAGGGACATCACCCAGAACCACAGGAACGCTGGCTGAGTGGAAGTCCTACAACTAGGAGGAAAGAGAAACGCATACGGACACTCAGAGGAGGCGCAGTGCTGAAGTCAAATTCTGAGGTGCGGAGTGCGCGGAGCGGGCTGGCGGCGGAGGGCGCGGTTGGCGTTTTCAATCGGGAGGGAGTCGCAGACTCTGAGCTCCAGATCCGGGCGAGTCTTTAGCGACCCAGACTCAAACGGGAGAAGCGGGACTGTCTGGCTTCAGTCAGAGCGAGTGTAGCTTTCTCTCTGAGCTTTGCAGCCGGGGCTGGGACTCAGAGAGGCAGAGCCCCTGGGGACAGGACTGAGAGCCGCCATAACTGCTCTCTCCGGCCCACCCTGTTGATCCTGTGCGACCCGCCCCGCCCAAGCCCTGCACACAGGCATTTGCCGGATAGCCTCAGGCAAAGGCTAGATTAGCACCTCCCTAGAGGACAGAAGTTCTCTCACTGCTGACACAGCTGATTCTCATAGCCACTTGGCCTGGAGGTCAAACCCTCCCTGGAATTAGCTACAACAATCAAGATTTAACTATAAGACTGCGAACAAAGACCACTAGGGGGTGCACCAAGGAAGCATAACAAAATGCGGAGACAAAGAAACAGGAC